GCACAGAGCACATAGAAAAATATTAGATTATCACTGTTTAAAAAAAAAGAAAATCAATGAGGGAGGGCGGTTTTTTGTTTTTTGTTTGTTTTTTAATCCGAACAATTGATTATTTCGCTTTACCTTTTATTGGCGAGGGAGGGACTGTATAAAAACTGGATTAAATCTTATATTTTTTTTAAAGAAATATATCTGAAGTCACAAATTTGCATTGTGTTATGCTGTTAAAATACTTGATGCGGCAAAGAATTTTTTTTATCCCGCATCTATATTTCCCGATTTTTTCACGCGGGGGGGGGGGGGTGGGGTGGTGATGATCTAATAATGTCCAATGGTTGCCAAATTGGCTATAGTGGGACACAGTGATAAATTACAACTGTCTTCTTTAATATTTTCGAAGTTAATCATTTCCTTCTTCATTGTGTTCAATGGCTGCTAAGAGCACATGTAAAAAATTATTAGATTATCACTCTTTAAAAAAAAGTCGATGAGGGAGGCGGTATTTTTTTTTTAAACGGAACAATTGATTGTTTCGCTTTTGTTCTTATTGATGAGGGAGGGACTGTCTATATTTGGCTAGTAATAGTAAATATTGTATAAAAACTGGTTTAAATTTTATAGTTTTTTAAAGAAATGTATCTGAAGTCACAAATTTGCATTGTGTTATGCTGTGAAAATAATTAATGCGGCAAAGATCTTTTTTTATTCCCGCATCAATATTTCCCAAATTTGTCACGCAGGGGGTGGGGGTGGGGGTGGTTATGATCTAACAATTTTTTTAGTGCCCTGCATTAGCTATAGTGGGACACAGTGATAAACTATAAATATCTTGTTTAATATTTTCCAAGATAATCCTATTCTTTTTCATTGTGTCCAATGGTTGCCAAATTGGCTACTGTGGGACACAGTGATAAAGTACAACTGTCTTCTTTAATATTTTCTAAGTTAATCCTTTTCTTTTTCATTGTGTTCAATGGCTGCTAAGAGCACATAGAAAAAATTATTAGATTATCACTGTTTAAAAAAAAAATCAATGAGAGAGGGCGTTTTTTTTTAATCCGAACAATTGATTATTTCGCTTTTGTTTTTATTAGTGAGGGAGGGACTGTTTATATTTTGCTAGTAATAGTAAATATTGTATAAAAACTGGTTTAATTTTATAGTTTTTTAAAGAAATGTATCTGAAGTCCCAAACTTGCATTGTGTTATGCTGTTAAAATCCGAACAATTGATTATTTCACTTTTGTTTTTATTAGTGAGGGAGGGACTGTTTATATTTTGCTAGTAATAGTAAATATTGTATAAGAACTGGTTTAATTTTATAGTTTTTTAAAGAAATGTATCTGAAGTCCCAAAATTGCATTGTGTTATGCTGTTAAAATAATTGATGCGGCAAAAAAAAAATTGTTTTTTCATTCCCGCATCAATATTTCCCGAATTTTCCCTGCGGTGGTGGGTGGGGGGAAGGAGAAGTGAAAATCTAACAATTTTTTCAGTGCCCTAAATTGGCTATAGTGGGACAATAGAGAAAATAGAACATTGTGGGACACAGTGATAAATTATAAATATCTTGTTTAATATATATTTATGTATTGTTTTTCTTTAGAGGGCCTCTTCAAGTCAGCTGTACTACTGTAGTGCAGCTGTTAGAGCTACCCTAGTGAAATAAAGTTGAATAATAATAATAATAATAATAATTTCAAAAATAATCTTATTCTTTTTCATTGTGTCCAATGGTTACCAAATTGGCTATAGTGGGACACAGTGATGAAGTACAACTGTCTTCTTTAATATTTTCTAAGTTAATCCTTTTCTTTTTCATTGTGTTCAATGGCTTCTAAGAGCACATAGAAAAAATTATTAGATTATCACTCTTTAAAAAAAACGATGAGGGAGGGCGGTTTTTTGTTATTTTTTTTTGTTTTTGTTTTTCTTTTTTAATCAGAACAATTCGTTATTTCGCTTTTGTTTTTTATTGATGAGGGGAGGGACTGTTTATATTTGGCTAGTAATAGTAAATATTGTGTGGGACACAGTGATAAACTATAAATATTTTGTTATTATTTTTCAAGATAATCCTGTTCTTTTTCATTGTGTCCAATGGTTACCAAATTGGCTATAGTGGGACACAGTGATTTTTAATTTTAGACGACTTAATTTTTCCCATTGTGTGTTTCTTCTTACAAAAGCTTTCTTATCAAAGTACCGATCGGACGGATATGTTACCAAAAAAGAAGAAACTCTCACTTTTATCTTTTTGATCATCGACACTGCTTTAATTTGATTCGCTAATAAGTTTAGTAGTTCTTCCCATTATGGGCTCCTTAGCTTCCAAAAATGTTTCCGGAAGTCATCGTCTCGTTTGGTCCAGGAATATTGTGTTTTTTCCACATTGTTGAAAATTCATAAAATTCTGAAATTCTCCAATTACAGATAACATGGTAAAGTAAATTTATGTATAAGGATTGCTTTGTAACATTTTTAATGTATTCCAATGTAATTCTATGTAATTTCCATCATATTATTTATTATAGCTCTGGAGTTGGAACATGACCGAAGTCCGTTTTTGGTATTCAAAATATTCCTCGTTTTTGTTGACATGTGGGTCATTATTAGCTAAGCGCCATGAAGTCGAAATTAATTAGTTACGTAGACTTTTCAACCAGGGCTACACAGTTTAGAAGCTCCTGATGGAACCTGTTTTCTCTCCTTTTTAATAAATGTTCAAACATATATTATTGAGTTCAATATAATTGTACAACGTTTTTTAAATTATTAAAAGCTGTCTGTGAACCATGCTCACATAGTTGTACGTTCTAGGGCATTATAACGTTTTTTAGAGTCTAAAAATTTACAATACCAACCAATTGAGGGCGCATATATATAAACAAAAATGAGCAATAGTGTAATTTCCTGGTTATCCCGCTGCAGGTCTATACTTTACTAGCAGCATGACTCATTTTGATTAATTCTTAACCCGGAAAATCGCGTAAGTGTTTAAAATGGTTTGTGAAATAAGTCAGTGTATTACTTTTGAGTGGCGATGAGATACTTTATGTTGGGAGTTAGCGAATCTATAGAAAATGTACGTTTATATAAAGCAACGTGGAAACGGTGCAGAACAACAGCTCCTGCCGGTGGTGTCTCTCGTAGATGGGTGTATACCTCAATTTTTGACGAGCAAATCTGGGCATATACATCAGCTGAATGTGAATGGTTTAGAGCCAGCATTATGGTTTAAGGTAACTAAAATGAAAGATATTTTAAATTACAAAAATTGAAAGAAATAGATGTGTATGTCAGACCAAGGAGGTATTAAATAAGCTTATTTAATACCTCCTTGGTCAGACAGGGACGGGTAACCCGGAGTCAGGTTCAAATCTTGTGCAAAACACCACAATTTTTTAAAATATGAAGAACAGCAACTTTGTATTGTAGGTCTGACCACTATAACAACTCCCTGGTTTGACATTGAGATTATCATCACATTCAGAATGGATTTCATCCTGTCAGTGGCTAGTCACCCACTTTTGGATAATTTGATAATAACAGATTTAAAGTCATGTAGAATAATATCTAAACCCATCAATCATTTTGTATTTGATTGTACCAGATTAAAGAACATTAGAACTTAATATTTGACCAACTTAAAGAGGAGTTATACCAAGGAGGTATTAAATAAGGTATTAATAAATTATTTAATACCTCCTTGGTTATACAAAAAGGATTTACATATATTTTGGGAATTATTCATATCAAGCTCCCCTGAACTTAAATACCATCTTTTGTTTGATGATTTAGAAATCCATTACGAATATCAAATTTTAACAACAAATTGTATAAACCCTATTAATTATACTATTGCGAGCTGTCTCTTATACACATCTTTACACAATGTGCTGTAATGCTAGTAATATTCTACTAGGGTTGAGGAAAATTTTTCTCTGAACATATAAATATTACATTACCAGTAATAATCCCCTTGGAAAGGGGTAATGGATGGTAAATTTTACAAACTTATTTTGATCTATAACCGCGCACTCCTTTTTCTTCCTCTCTCCCTCTGCTTTTGTTTAGAAAATCTAATTTTAATCGTAATATTTATCATTAATTAATTTATATTTTATATGTGTGTGGTAAATACAATAAAAACAAACAAAACAAACAAATTAATCTCTGCAGCATTGAATTCTGAATTACTAGGAATACTCCCCTTTGAAAGAGGTGATTGAAAATTAATATCTGCAGGGTTGAATGCTGAATTACTAGGAATATTTTCTCATGAGTATTAGAAAGATTGTACCGTATTCTTTGCATGGTTAACGTCATTATGACTTTTTCCCCAGGTTTTTAATTATTCAAAAATCTGAAACTCATTAACTCCCGGGTTTTTATTTTTGTCAAATATGCTTTTTGTGTCTTTCAAAAATCTGTTGTACAACATATCAACAAATGTTTTTTCTCTGAATAACACCGTGGCTAGAGATACGGTATCGTATCGGAACTTCCGATTGCTAAAGGTATGGTAAATGATATTACGTCATGATCAGCCAATAGAAATGACCGACGCGATTTTGGCTTTTTTGCAAAGTCGACGTCGTGATCATGAGAAACGTGTGGCGCGAACAGTTACGATAAAATTTATGTCATAAAACTTTAGGCCTATTTCATGTATTTCGATTGGGGCTTATCGCAATATTTGAGTTAAAAATCCTTTCTGTTATTCTTGCGTATTTTATGGTCTACCATAGAGAATGTTCTACAAGGCTAGGCCTAGCCCGAATACCCGCCTAGCCTAGGGGCCTATTATATACTACTAGGCTAGGCTTACTGTAGGCCTACTGTAGTGCTGGTGTAGAGTCGTTGCGGCCCTGAGTCGATTCGGCCCCGGGCCGTTTCGGCCCTTAGTTGGTATTTTTTTTTTCTTTTTAATTGCTATATGGCCTCGGGCTACAGAATATTAATCCCAGCTTGTCAACAACACCCGCGAACGAACACAATTTCTTATCTTCGATCGTTGCTAACATACACATGCTGCAGCAATGCACTGAATGACGTCACGCATGTATCGCCGTTTCTATTGGCTAATCATGATGTAATATCATTTACCGTACCTTTAGCAATCGGAAGTTCCGATAAGGTACCGTATCTCTAGCCACGGCAAATTATTAATAATGTAGAGTTACATGAACATTTACTTTGAGGATCACCATCATAATGGTTTTTAATTGGCGGCCTGCGGACCAAATTTGGCCCTCAGAGTAATTTCATTTGGCCCGGGAGAAAAAACAAAAAGGTAAAAAAGAAATATTTGAAACAAATTCAACGTTATAATCATTTGATGAATACATTTTCAACAAATTAAAGACAAAAATGCAACCCCTGGGTTATGTGCCTAAACAACATTACGGGAAAACAGCTTGGAGATTTTATCAGAAATGTGCTGGCTATAATAATAGGCCATAGAATAGGCCTATATACAGACTTTATGTGCCGGCAAGTTTTTTCTATTTGTTTGTACTGTTCACTGTGTTGTTGAGTAGTGTTTGCACATAATTTTACATTATTAATAAAAACTTGGTGTACCAAGAACAGTACTCATCACGTACAATGAAGAAAATACAGTAGTTAACAAACGTTACAGGTAGAGTTAATGTTCATGCTGCTTGTACTTTTAAAATAATGTGTCTAGACACTAAACACTCTAGCTTTTTTTATTGGGATCAATCATATTGGTAAAGTGACCCTCCAAAGCAATACAATGGACTAGAGATAGTTTGTAATTACCCATCCATGATGCGGCATCCTGTGCTATATTTTTTTACATACAATATGTTCAATCGCCGGAGGAAAACAATTTTTTGAAATGTTGTTCAGCTGAATTTTGTAACTTCAAGACACAAAAAGCATATGACAAAAAAATTGGGAACAACTGCTGATTAAATACAGACTTTTGAATATTTAAAAACTGAGGGTAATTTTTCCACTCCCCTCCCCAGTTCGTAAATATTTAAAAATCTGTTTCTCATTAACTGAAGCCCCGAACTGTTGAATATTTAACATCATTTTTATTAAATTGTTTGCAGTATGAATGTATTAATGTTGTGCTGTAGGACCATAGCAAATAGCTGAGATAGGCTACTTGAATATTATTATGCTAGTAAATTGAATTTTTCGAAGGTACAGTAGTTGTCCTCGGACAAGTGAAAAAAATATGAAATTTGCTCATGCCTGGCTCAGTAACTATCTTATCTTCATGATAATTATCTTTCTAATTAAAATCCATCATCACGACCATGGAAATATCGGTCCCAAAAGTGGTCTTTAATTGAAAGGAGACCAGTATTAGCATACAGTATTTTAAAAGCTGAAATTCATTCAAGTCCAGTTGTCAGTTCAATTGCATAAGATTCTTGCAGTTTCTTCAGCACTTTTAATGTAACTGAGAAAAAGTAATTTACCAAAAAAGACCCCTTTTATTGCCCAAACACAGTGGCATTCAGTGTACTACTGTAGGTCAGTTTGGTGATTGTTTTTTATCTGTGTATCTCTATACCGTAGATTAAAGTACTGTACATGTACGGTAGATGTCCTTCTGATCACATTTTTTATTGAAGTTATTAACTACTGAAGGTACTGTATTAAGTATTTGTTCACCATGAGCTCTTAATAGATAAAACAATATATAATTTTGCCAATTTATTATCCCATTATTACAACAATTAAGCCTTAAAGACTTGGGCCTTCACATTTAATTGAATGTCGAATGACAGGCAAGTCATGTCCTACTACAAGCTCCATAATTTTCAACAATTGATCATCTGTCAAAACTTATCGTAGTGTTCAAATAGTGTGCTGTATGTATGCAGGTTTAACATCACTTCATACCAAGGTTGGTTTTGGGTATCCTTTTAAGGAACTGTGGACTGTATCACGATGATGATGAAGAACATGATGATAGGTGGTGACAACAAAGATGAGGAAGGCTTGGCAATTGGGATGATGTTTACAATGATAAGTAGGGGGATGATGATATTATGATTTTATATTAGACTGAGCACTGAAAGTAAATTTAATATCTTTTATACCAAATATCAGAATTAAAATTACCTAATATTAAAGTAATGCAATTTGAAATCCCTCTAATTTGAAACCATTTTTTTTAAATGAACCAACTAGCAACCTTGAATCTTTTGACACAAAACTAATCTAGTTGAAGATCTTACCATGAAACATGCACCTCAAATTTCCAGGTCGCAATATGTGGTCTCGAATTATGCTGCATAATTATGAAAATACTGTGTGTGGAACAAAAGAAAAAATAAACCATACAAATTTAGCAAAATTCCAAAAATTTGTACTGCCAGTCAAAAAGTTCAAGCTACAGTTATAATAAACCAGGATCTGTGAATAAACATACAGGATATTATCAAATTTAACAGGGCATTATGACTGAATGAACACAAAGATCTGGAATGATGAGAAACAAATATATCGTCTGATCATTTTATGCAGATCTCTAATCTGTTTTAGTGACCTGAATGTGGATATACAGTATAACCACTTGAGCAGACAAGTAACTGAGTGGAATCACATAGGCCCTCATTTAGCTTGGTTAAAATTTCAATATCCTTGACATTAATGTCCCCAAGCCACTATAATTCATTATAATGAACATGATGCACAGCTCATGGGGATTGCCCTATTGTTAAATCAATAATATGTACAGTATTGACAACTTCCTGTTAGAGCAACTTGAAGCGTATTGTATAATTGTCTATTTTGTGAATACTTACCTGGATAAACCGACTGTTTGCTACAGTAGGTTCCCTCATGTTCCCGGTCAAATCCAACGTGCATGGCTACGTCCCTTTAGCAGCAGCGGGTACAGCGCGGCTATCGCTGACCGCGAGGGAACCTGCCAATACATGATATTAGTATGATGGTTTTTTTTAAATGGACTACAGTAGAAAATATTGTTTCCTCTATTGTTTGCTAGGGTAAATTCAATATTTTTTATACAGTACTTTGTATATTAAAGCTTTCATTTGAATATGTGAACACTTAAACAAAACTTTTCACCAATTCACATATATGCATGATGTTTCATACTTTAAATTGGCACAAATAATAATTCCCCGTTTGCAAATAATCTCAGTCTCCCCCTTCATTTTTTAAGTTTTTTACATATTCTTTTCCTTAAGGGGCCTTGCTTGGTTAATTTAGGGCCCATGGTCCTGATCAAAAAAATTAATGTCCAGGGCCCAAGCATAGGGGTGCAAGCTACACCTATCATATACCTTTACCCGTACTGAGGCCAAATGTACAATACATTTTAGTGCTATCTTACACTAACCCAACATTGATTTTTGGTTGATTAGTGTTTTTTAAAACAAGATGTACGGTACAGCACATCATTTAAACATTTGATAAATTCTAACAGATTGTTGGAAACCATGTCAAATGAAGCTTGTAAGACTGCCATGACTCATCTATCTCTGAACATTCAAGGCCCAAGTCTTCAACAATTGCCAATTAATACTATTTTGGTCAAAGTAACAAAAATTTAAAAACAAAATTTTCGATCTATTTACAGTCCAACCATTGTTAATAATTAATTTTTCTGGTAATTGTGTTAAGTTTAACTGTTAATAATGTTTGGTATTCAATAATATTTATTGATTTATTAATCTTCAACAGTTGTGTCGTCACAACACCAGGAGTGGCGCCCTTTGTTGTCAACCAGACGTTGGTTACCGATCATTATGCCTGAATGACTTCATATTCTTAATGGTTTAAAATAGACTTTCTGGAATAGGCATTTTAAAACTTAATAATTCACCATCAAAATGTACTAAAAACACAAAAGCTTGCATTATATTAGGACTTTATCAAACACACACATAATCATCAATTAAAATTTACAAAGAAAAACTGAGTATACAACATCTTATAATTACGTTAGAAATTGGGATCAATGATTTATCAGTAGCGAAAATGGCGTCCGTTTGAAAGCATTTTGTGTCGCTGATAGCAACGGAGTAGTATCACGTGCTATCATGACCTAACTCTTGGATATTGTAGTTAGGTCAAACAAAATGACTGCATTAAATGTTTGTAAGTATGTGCATTTGTGGGATAATCGCAGTATCCTTGCTGTGTTCTAATTGGTCAGTTAAGGTTTGACAATCAAGAAAGGTACACATGCTAGATACAGTATTGAATGATTGCTAATATTTAATATTGATTTGTAGGTACTAGCTGTACCATGGTGTTAGATGGATACTTATTGTTTGATTTTGATTGATTTGCAGGTAATAGTGTTAGATGCAATATTGATAGATTGTCAGTGTAACCTGATCCAGTGGACAACTTGCGAAGGCAAATGTCAAATTGGAAGGCGTGTGAAGAATATGTTTGTTAGGTGCAGTCACTCGCAGGAAAGTAAGCAGTCCAATCTTCATATTTTATGCAAATCATATCAATTTGTTGGGGATGTTTTGAGCACGTAACAAAACATTTTTAATACTGCGCACATGTAAGAAGACAAAAAATAACAGAGCACTGTTTGGGCACTTTCATTGTTTGAAAAGGGTATATCAAAATGCACTTTTTTAAATGATCAATCATTAGTGGAACACTATTAAAAATACATTGTCAATTTATGCATCACTGTAGAAATAGGATATGTCCACTATCACGCATATTCATTTAATGAATTTTAACCAGTCTTTTAATACAGCAGGTCCCATATTTTCTACATTCCAGAAAAGGAAACATGCCAATTCCCTGGGCTGATTGTGAGCCCAGACAGTTTTTCTTCTTGAAAGCCTTTGATAGAATTAAGAAATGATGGAAGAAAATTATATCCCTGTCTCTTATACACATCTAGATGTGTATAAGAGACAGCCTTCCAGTCGAGTTTGTTACCACTTCAACCTAAGCAATTGGATTAGTGTAGGCTAAGGGTGTGTTTCTACTGATAAACACAAAATAATCAATTTTTTTAAACCGCTTTTTTTTAATGAGTACCAATAAATAAATGAACCTAAATGTATACATAGGCCTACTGATGATTGCTTGATTAAGATCTGGGTTTAGTAGATTGCCTTACTAGGAAAGGCAAAGGAATACATTTGACATAGATGCTGAAACAAAGTAAAGAAACACTTAGTTTTAAAGAGGTAAAATTCATAACATTATGGCAGTACAAAAATGTCTCTCATTTTATATCTACTAAAGATCAAATCCCAATGGAATATATGAGCTCTGTTGTTTACCATTTTAAATGTCCAGGTTTGTAATAGTGACTATATTGCTAAGACAGATAGGTGCTTAAATAACTAGACTTAAAAAACATTCTTCACGATCTGATAGTGTTATAAATGATCATATACAAAATTGTGAAGCATTAATATGTTTTAGGTTTACAAGGTATACTTGAAAATGATAATGTAGCCTGTAATGTAAGTAATAAATTAGGTTTAATATTTTCTAATACTAACATTATTGACAGTTCGTAAAATTGGTCTACTGTATATTGTTTAAAGAAGCGTTTGTATACATAGGCTACACCCATTGCTTAACAATGGGCTGAAAACTTCAGAGGAGCTTTTTTTTGTTTTTGTAGGTAGCTTTGATCAGTAGGGTAAGAATTCTTTGATCTCTAGTTTATTCATAGCTATGTCACCTACACTAGGGGTAATGTTTTGATTGATCAAACACTTTTCGTACTTGTGCATATATAAGCTTGCAAATATGGATAATTTTTCATTCTTGATGGTGACATAATTAATGTTGAAATATTGAATCCAGACACGATGGCATGCATTTCGATACTTGGAGTATGTATTATACTATCTTATCTGAGATTAATCAGTGGACCCGGTATTTTTTTAGTTACGTACATTTGTAGTAAAACCAGTCAATATTTTTGAAGAAGCGCTAGTGGTTTAAGAGATAGGGTGATTTTCATGGCGGTGCGTTTACAGGAAAGTGGACTAAGCAAATTGATGTACTTAATACACAACAACTTTTACCACAAAAGCGTGCAGTGTCAACATTCAATTAAAATTTTTAATTTTTGTGATGAAAATGACTATTGAGTTAATTTTTTGTGAATACTGTTAATTATTCTAGTTTTATCTACAGTCTCTACAATAAATTATAAATCTTATGTAATTTGTTAATTGGTAAAATGAAAATTTATAAAGTAAATTCTAATCAAATCAAAGCAAAGTGAAGGTTTTTCTTGGCTGTATGTGTAAGATAATGACAGCTTGAAAAGATAAGAAGGTATATAAAATTACTATGTCATAGCGATATTACTTTGATTTTAATTAAATTGTACGTATTTAGAACTTGTTCTTCACTATCCCTATTTATTATGTCATTGCTATAATGATACAGTATACAATAAATTTATGTTCAATTATCACAATCCTCAATCAATTAAAAAGCCCTCAAAACCTGTCATTAAAAAAAAAAACACGTGCAACCAACTATGTTAAAGCATGCAATTTTTAAAATATGATAAAACCTTGAAAAACTAAAAAAAATTAAGTAAACCATTGAATATCTCAAGTATTTCAATTAAGTTATAAACATTAAAATTGTAAATTTATGAGAGCCCTCATATCTATAAACTATAATCATTTACAATAATATGTCTTTTTTTTCATCAAGTTAATTTAGTATCCATTATTTAAGTCATTACAAATTATGTTTCTCCCAGTTTAATAGAGTACCTTGCAAAGTTATACAACTTTACCATGTGAGCATCATGAAACTCCTGAGAATACAGTTGAGTTACACATGGGTTTTTCACAAATGAGTACCTTTTTAATCATTTATGCAACTACTGTATGTTTCCTTTCCAAGTTATTGAATATTAATTTATGCAAATATCTTAGTCAATGTGGATGAAGAATATTACACACCAGATGTGGATTTACAACAAGGGATGCAACTCGCCCAGCAAATCGCAGCTGCCAACAAAGATGATATCAAGGAAGAGTTTTTACAACTTCTGCATCTTTATGTCCTTCCAATCATTCGTCTGCATTCTACGGATGTTGAGCGTGTGCAAGATGCACTTATGCGACAGGTATGGATTTTGCCTTACATTAATTTTGTTTTTGTTTTTTTGAAATAGTAATATTATAAATTAACTTAAATTTTGGATTAATTTTTTATCTATTATTTCTACAATTTTAGTCATAATTAAATTTTGTATTTTAATTTATTTCTACATAAGGAAGTGTCTGAAGTAAACACTACCAATTACTTGCAATTTAAAGATAATTTACAAGATAAAGCAGTAATTAATATATACAGTGTACAGTGTAGCAATTCTCATTATTATACTGTATCACACTACCAATTATAATTAAGCTTTTTTTTCTTATTAATCGTCTATTGATTACGGTAAATATGTTGTGTGAATTATTATTGTGAATTTGTCTATTTAGCTACTCTACCTAGTAGTAGTTATTGTTTGACGCAATAAAATAATATATATCACTGTTATTACTTTTATTTATTATCATATTATTATATCAATACCATCTTTACCATAATCATCATCACCATTATCACTTGATCACCATTTTCGTCATCATTAACATCACCATCTGCATCACCATCACCAACAGCATGATCATCATTTTCATCACCACTATAATAATTATCTACACTACATCCACTATTGATCACCATTATCAACATCATCCAATAGCCGATTGTAATCTTATGCACTTAAGCCTGTCGCACATGTTGCGATTTTGCCCCACGACAAGCTTTCTTGCGAAATGCTCAGTCTAAAAATGTCTGGCACATGAAGTTTGGGCAAGGTGTGAGAGAAATTTAAAGGACACCACACACATATACAGTAAACACATGGAAGTGTATGATATTGTAGAGTTTTCAACATGTTGAACAAACTGTAGTCGTAAATGTCATAGCACAGCTGTAAGCAAAATTGCAATGTGTGAGACCAGCTTTAGGCAAATAATGCAGATAATGTTTGTATATTTTTTTTTTATAGGTGACTATTTTAGATAAAATTGGTAAAAATATGGACAATTTGTCTCAACATCGTAATGAAGTGAAGAAAACATTACTTAGCTGGAGACAAGATTTGTGTAACAAGCACCTGAATACGGTAAATACTATAACCACTTTATATAATTTCTCCAGTGAGTCCTCTATGATCTATTTGTACTTCTTAAGTCATGTCAATACACTACTACTCACTGCCTTTCAATATATATTAGGTGCTTGTCAGAATATAGCTGTAGCCCCTTGGTTAAGTATCTTGTCTTCTAATCTCAGGGTCTGGGCTCAAATCCTATCAAACCAAGATTTGTTTATCCTGATTAAAAAATGCCACACCTAAGATTCAAGATTCAAGAAAACTTTTATTGTCCATTAAAAAGAATAGAAATTCATTTTAAACTGAACAGAAGTTAAAATTTGTGCTCTCAACGCAATTTCAAAAATCGCCTCATAAGAGATTTAATGAGCATCATTTCATCCTACTGGATATAAAAAAAAATAATTTTTTTTTTAACTTTCAAATTTTATTTCGAAAAAAAAGTAAATGATTATAACAAAAAATTAAGTCGAAGACCAGAAGATACAGAAATGTATGTTTAAATAAAACAGAGTTGTAAATAATATATATAAAAAAAAAAAATAAAAGACAAATTACTTGAACAAAAAATGTAACTTATCCCATTTAGTTTTCCAATATCTTATTTTTGAATTTACACAAGCAACGTATTTTTCCGTTATGTAATGCGATTTAAGTATTTAAAAAAATTGATTTAAATGTGATTCAGTGCCTTTTCTTCAAAAAATTATGTCGAAGACCAGAAGATACAGAAATGTATGTTTAAATAAAACAGAGTTGTAAATAATATATTTAAAAAAAAAACTAAAAGACAAATTACTTGAACAAAAAATGTAACTTATCCCATTTAGTTTTCCAATATCTTATTTTTGAATTTACACAAGCAACGTATTTTTCCGCTATGTAATGCAATTTAAGTATTTAAAAAAAATTATTAACATGTGATTCATTGCCTTTTTCATCAAAAAATTAGGTGGAAGACCAGAAGATACAGAAATGTATGTTTAAATAAAACAGAGTTGTAAATAATATATTAAAAAAAAAAAACTAAAAGACAAATTACTTGAACAAAAAATGTAACTTATCCCATTTGGTTTTCCAAGATCTTATTTTTGAATTTACACAAGCAATGTATTTTTTTGTTATGTAATGCAATTTAAGTTTTTAAAAAAAATTATTTACATATGATTCAGTGCCTTTTTCTTCAAAAAATTAGGTGGAAGACCAGAAGATACAGAAATGTATGTTTAAATAAAACCTAGTTGTAAATAATATATTTAAAAAAAAAAACTAAAAGACAAATTACTTGAACAAAAAATGTAACTTATCCCATTTAGTTTTCAAAGATCTTATTTTTGAATTTACACAAGCAATGTATTTTTCCGTTATGTAATTTTTAAAAGTTAAGTATTTAAAAAAATTGATTTGCATGTGATTCAGTGCCTTTTCTTTAGTACTTTGAATGTCAAATAGGCGCATTTTATCATCTATAATAATATTAATGTTTAATACAGCGGTCCTTAGATGAAAAACGTAAGCTGTAGGCGATAAAACATATACCCGCTACCACCAGTTTTGAGTCGTTTTTTAGTCGAAAATTTGATTTGCGCATGATTTCCCGACATTTTGTTTCTGTCGCGAGCTGCCTAGAAAAGTTCTTTATGTTGTTTTCGCGACTGTCGGTAAACATTGAGCAAACTGAGATAGTTGTGGCATATCGGCCACTTATACTTGTGCTATTATTTGAAGGTGTTCTCTGTGTTCTATTAGTGTTTTAGTATACTTTAACGGCTAAGATTGACGGACCTGGTGTACCTAGGCCTAGCCTAGACACATACGTAATGTAGGCTTCTCTTTGGGCGACACCGTCGGACCTGGTGTAGGCCTAGACACATCTGATATATACTATACCGTTAGGCCTACGTGAAGTAGGTTTCTTGGCCTACCACCAGCCTACCGTCAAGCAATAAAAATCAACATTTGTGGAATTATTTTCCAAGGAATGATGGTTAAAAATTCTGGACACATAAATATGCAGCATGTGATGGACGGACGAACCTAAGGGTTGGCGGGGGCAGCATGTGATGGACGGACGAACCTAAGGGTTGGCGGGGGGATGGGAGTTCATCTAATGATGTTTGGGAAAATAATGGTCAGAAAATACAGCATCTGATGGACAGTCCCGGGTAGGGGAGAACCATAAAATTATGGACACACAAATTTACAGCATAGCTTCATCAAATGATGTTTGGGAAAATAATGGTTAGAAAATACAGCATCTGATGGACAGTCCCGGGTGGGGGAGAACCTTAAAATTATGGACACATAAATTTACAGCATAGCTTCATCAAATGATGTTTGGGAAAATAATGGTTAGAAAATACAGCATCTGATAGACAGTCCCGGGTGGGGGAGAACCTTAAAATTATGGACACATAAATTTACAGCATGTGATGGACTGACCGTCTATACACATATACAGCATGTGATGGAGGCATGTGATAGACGGACGGACGAACCTGAGGGTGGGTGGGGGAGATTT